ATGTATATATATGTATATATATATGTATATATATGTATATATATATGTATATATATGTATATATATATGTATATATATGTATATATGTATATATATGTGTATATATGTATATATGTATATATATATAAATATAATGTATGTATATGCATGCGAGTATGTATACACAAACACAAATGCATATGTGTGTGTGAAAAAATATAGGCTATTGCTTCTCTTTGTCAAAATAATATAATTCTTATTCTGATATTTTTTTACAGTGGATTACTTCTTGTGTTTATCCACTTATTAGGGTTCTGAAACCTTTTAAGATTCCCATTTAGATGCAAAACTAAATAAAACTATCAATCAACATACTGAATATCACCCTACATTGCTGGATGTTCTTTCTGTAGTTTTTTAGAAACACTAAATAAAATGCATGAGGACTAGAAAAAAGTATTATATGTAGCACTTGAAGTAACACTCCTAATTTATTCTTGCCCCTTAAATGTTCTAATGAAAGACTGAAATTTAGAAGAGACATTCTGGAATTTAGAAGAGACATTCTGAATATGAAATAACGTTTCAGCCTTGAAATTTGAAAGCCAGAAAACTTTGCACATCATGAATGTTAATTGTATTTCATTTAATATTTTGTGAATGTATATATGTATGTGTTTGCACAATACATTAAATTTAAACCAATATTTGTATTTGTCTTGGCTCCACCTACTTGTAGTATGATACACATTATTATCAAATGAAGCCTTCAGCCCAAAATCAATTGTAACCCTTAATATTCTAAATGACTTATAATTAAATTCTGAGCAGATTTATTCTTAAATACTTAAATAAGAGAATTTTAAGGAACAATAGCCATGATTGCAGCAATCATGGTAATTATGAATAGATTACCCCACTCCCCACTAACTGAAGTAGACCTTTCAAGAAGGCATCCATTAGTCTGGAGCCTTAAGCATCTGATGGTGATTAAACAACCCTGGACATTTCTATTTCCAAAGCTAATTTAAAATATAGGAAGAACTTGAATACATCATCTTACTTCTTTGTCGTATTAAAACAATCCTGATTTATCATTGACATACAGACTTTCTTTTGTTGTTCCCGAGTTTCTGGGTTGAAATCTGCCAGCAGAGGTCCTGGATTTTGAAATGCCAAGCATTTTAGCTGTCGTTCAATTTGTTGCTGTCAACAAACACACTAGTGGTTATGATAAAATGTTCACAGTTACATTTAGGAATTCAGTATTACTGTATTTTTTGGAGTATAAGACCCACCGGAGCATAAGACGCACCAAGATTTTGATGAGGCAATTTTTTTAAAAAAATTTGCACTCTACAGACCTCCCAAAACAGCCCATTTTTAGTGAAAACAGGCCTGGGTTTTTTTGTCAAAAAAAGGCCAGGCATAGCCTGTAAGAGGCTTGTATAGTGCAGGCTAAACACCCAATGACAGGCTAAAAAGAGGGAAAGTTCACAGCAGAAGTCAGCAGTTGAACAGAGCCCCCCCCCCCCCGACCATTTAGTTGCCAGGCTCATTTCTGAGGAACTGTAGATCAGGAGTCTCCAACTTTGGCAACTTTAAGGTTTGTGGACTTCAACTGCCAGAATTCATCAGCCAGATTTATGTTGGGAGAAAAGACAAAACATCACTTTGATAGAAGAACAACCAAAAACAACTTTAAGCTGCTCCTGTAGCAAACTGGGGATGAAGCAAGCAATGTTACAATTATATGATCCTTAGAAATGGTTATCTTTGTTGTGAAATTCCAAGATCAGCACCTGTCCTTGGAATTTATATAAGATAGACATTTCAGAAACTTCACAGAGTGTCCTAACATATATATTCTGGTTTACTAAAAACTGAGGGGGGGGGGGTGTCACAAAGTTTGGTTTTATTGTTTTGTTTCAAATTAAAGTGTACAAATAAAACCAAACTTCAGGAGAAAAACATCACCGTTTCTAGCAAACCAGTGATGGGGTGTCAAACTTGCATTTGCCACAGGATCATCACGTGATGTATCGTGACTTTTTCCCCCTTCGTTAAACCGGGCGTGAGTGTGGCCAGCACGTGATGCATCCAGTCTGCGGGCTGTGAGTTTGACAGCCCTGGCACAAGGGATCTGCCATCCACTCCAGCCTAAGGCCTGTAGGAAGAACCAGATATTATTGACTCATTTAAATAAGGTCAGGGTAGGGACGGTGGGGATTTTGTTCTAGAAGGCAGACACCACAGGAGAGGAGGCCTGCTTCTCTACCTGGCATGTCTAGTTGTCCTGCTGTGGCTAAATATTTGCTATCTAATTACTTAGAGAAAACCTCCATGGTCTGAGCAGGTTTATACCGCACGTAGGAGATCAAACTGCATCACAGTTATTCAGGTCTTGGGACACATTTCCCTGTTCGTGTTTGAGACTTCAAAAACAAACCAGAAATAAAATGAAGTTGCCTCAGGCAATTTATGCACCCAGCATTGCATGATTGCAGCAATAAACCTCAAAGCATTCTGGCAGAAGTTTTTCTATGCTCACGTATTAGTCTAATATATAGCATTACTCAAACGTAGAGTGCTTATTGTCTCCTGGTAAAAATGAAGTCTGACTAGAGAAATTATTATTCTACCTACTAGGTAAGGGCTGAAAGCCCTGCCCTTGGAACTTATATAGGAAGACATTTCAGAAACTTTACAAGTAGTACTGCACATGGTGTGCTAATCCATAATTGTAACGGTATGTGGGAATGATCTTGGGAAAAGGGGTGAAGCAATGTTGCCTAGGAAATAATCAGATAACAAAGGGCGTAGCCTCCAGCTGCATAGTGGCCAGAGAAGGAAACTCGGAAAAGAACCTCCTTAACCTCTCAGGCTATAAAAGAAACAGCAGGAGATTTGTATCAGCAGGATTACAAGACTTGGTTAATGTACCTTTACAATGGAATTAGCTCATCTGCTTGTGCTTTCTGTCTGGCCTACCTGGGAAAGCTGACAATAATATGAATTGCTTGTGTGGGGCTTAATATGGTGACAGAACTCAATTATTACGATTGAGTGGCAAAGTGTTCTCTATGGAATAATGCTTAACCAACAAATTTTAAAGCTGGGGAAAAACTAGTGGGGTTTGCTATGGATTGATATGCATAATAAACAGAGGGAATTTTTCCTACCTCTGTATTTTGTTTGGAATGTTATGTTTTATCTGTGGCTCTTAAGCAACTCTTGCTCATTCTCTTTTAGCTGTATTCCAGACAAACACAGCTTGTAAACATGATCCTAGTTATCTTGTCATGTTGCCTACCTTGTTAATAAATCATTGGGATAGTGGGATCATGCAACCCATAAATAAATTGTGCATTTATTCAACATTAGATGGGATATCTTAGAAAAATAGAGGCAACTTGTCTTTGTTAAATAGTGAGATTGAGTAAATGTGTATACTACACCTTACTATGTTTTCCTCCAACCATGTTCATTTGGAGTATAAATATATTAATGCCTTCTATTAATTATTCAATTTTCAAGGTAACTTGCTTTAAAAGTTACAGTTCTTACAGATCAAGTCATTTGTGTAAATCTAAGTTACAGGAATATTATGGCTGTTTCAAGGAAATTGTGCAGGTGCCAGGAGAACATCAATCCCATTCTGTCCAGCTTTCTGAATAGGAGGTATCATTTGGAGATATTGGGGCATTGGTTGATATTTTGTGAGGAAAGAAATGCTGTCTGAATGTTTGTCGACTGTCAATGGTTTTAGAGAAATGAAAGAGAGACTCAAGAGCAGTAGATTATTTAGGCTGTCATCATAAGCATATCAGAAGCTAGTAGATGCTAAAGTAGGGGTATTAATAGAGAGGGTGCCATAGAATGCTTTCACCCAGTGTTTCTCAACCATGTATCTTAGTTGCCAAAGTTGATAAACATTGCTTGAATCAGATTTTGAAAGTGGCATAGGAAAAAGTGCATGATTTGGTGGCAAGGTGGTGTCAGCCGTGACAGGTAGTATATGTGGTACCCAGGCCATTCCCTGAGTATGCAAACATCTCAATAAGTACTATTGGACCAAAGGTGGCTGTGACTTGGGCTCGCTGGGAATTTATTGGGCACATACCAATATTGATCTGTCTGTTTGTCTGCTTGCCTGTCTGTCTGTCTAGCTTGGGATTTCTACGTCATCCTGCCATTTGCTCAAATGGGTTTATGCTGCACCAGTTTAAAGTGCTGCCCAGCTAGATTTTGCCTGCAGGGGGAAAGCTAGTAAAGAGAAAGCAGAACAGAAGGCTGAGCATCAGGGAAAAGAAAAGCTAAAGCAAAAATAACCTGAACAGGATCAGCCACAAAAAACCCAGACCTGGGAGCCAGAAGCTACTTTCTTTCTGGATTTATTTGCATGCATTTGGAATGGTGCAAACAGTAGCTTCCCAGTCAAAGGTTTTCAAAATACTCCTATAAATTAAAGCTACTAAGTGCTCAGGAAATGGCACTCTCATTTTATGAATGTTATAGGCTGGACAAAATAATTACATGGGCCTTGAATGGAGAACAAGATAAGAATGAGATTATTTGGGTCATTCTATGACACTCTTTGGGGGGGGGGGAGGGAGGGAGTGGACAAAAGAAAAAGAAATAGTGTTTGTCTTTGTCTTGCACTATAGTCAGCCAATAGATCAGAAGGACTAAAAGAAATTTATGTCATTCCATGGATGGGGCTGAATCAAGGTGTATGCAGAGAGAAGAATTGTATTAAATTATCTCATGTCAATGTGACATATCTACAGAAAAAGGCTGCTTTTCAATACCTTTTGAAATTGGTAGTAGCTGCAAAAAAGAAAATTGTGGTGGTGCTGCTGAAGACACAGGAGCAAAAGTTAAGGATAAATAAGGAGATTGCAATGTTGAATGGTACTCTAGTTCATATTTGCATTACCATCCCCAAATAGTGTTGTGTTGTTGTTGTTGTTGTTTTGTTGCTTTTTATTTTTCTAACTGCACGAAGGAAGCTAGGATGGTCTCTGTTTTTCTGATTTTTATTTTAGATCTTTTGTGAGTTGCATATATGTTAAAAGATATTTAACAAATAGGAAAAAGCAGTATCCATCAACATGAGCTGCCCCTTTTTGGCAGAAAGGGATCCATGACAAGAACCCACAACGTTTAAGCAGATTCCTAGATTATATTCTGTGTTCTCATTTAAGGTTCCTCTGATTTATCAAATAAATCCTTTGTTTGAATCGGATACATTTCTAACTTTAGGGTTACCTTAGGCATCCAATATATTTATATCAGTACGAAATTCCAAAAAAAGAAATGTCTAGAGATTCATAACAGAAAAGGATAACATATGAATCAAAAGCAAGACCTATTTTTTTATCTTTAAAAGTGAATTATAAAACATTTCCGGAAAGTTATAAATACTTTGGAGAATTCTGAAGTTGTACCTGTTGTTTTTGCTCCAAGGTCATCTCTTTAGTGCATACACTGCTTCCGCCTGCCAATTCTCCTGCTACAGACGGGCCCCCTGAAGGACAGGGGCCTTCCAAGCAATCACCCATTTTTAAAAGTATGCAAAAACCTGCAATGAGAAATCCACAACTCATGGATATAGAACTTTGTCAGGGAAAATGTCAGGGTCTTGGACTGTTGAATTAAACACCATGATAATATCCATAGGTGAAGCACTCACCCAGTTTCAGTCCCCAAACTTCAGCTTGGTTTTAAGGCAGAGGTGTGGCTCTCTGACCTTAAAGCAGTTGTTACATTCTGAAGCATATAGGTTCTGCTACAGTGTGGCCAGTAGCTGGGATGTCTGGAATTGTAGTCTAATAATAACTGGTATAGGTAGTCCTCAATTTACAACTGCAATTGAGAGCAAAACTTCTATTGCTGAGCGAGCTATTTGTTACGTGAATTTTTCCCCATTTTCTGACCCTTCTTGCTACAGTTGTTGAGTGAATCACTGCAGCTGTTAAATTAGTAACACAGTGGATAAATGAATCTGGCTTCCCCATTGTCTTTGCTTATGAGAAGCTCGCAAAGGTGATTTACATGACCCCAGGACATTGCAACTGTCATAAAACATGAACTCAGTTGCCAAACGTCTGAATTTTGATCTTATGATCACAGGGATGCTGCAACAGTTGTAAGTATGAAAAACGGCCATAAGTCCCTTTTTTCAGTGCTGTTGTAACATTGAACAGTCATTAAACAAACTGTTGTCAGTTGAGGACTACCTGTGTACCAACAGTTCCTCACCCCTTTCTTTAATGGAATCTGCTGTCTTTATACATTTTTAAAAGGTTCCTTGGCTTTCTATTTTAGACAGCAATGCAAAGCTGTTCACCAATACCTTTGCCCAAGAACCACACATTATGAGATTCAGCTTTGATCGCTGGCATTTGTTAGGATTTTTTTTTTTTACTGTTGTATAGCTATAGTATACTGTTGTATTTTGCTGTCATTATTCTTTATCCCATTCAGGCTCTTTGAATGTAAAACATGACTGGGAATATGCACATGTACATTGATTTGGAAAGAAAGAAACGAAAACATTATACAGTGGAATAAAATGCCCCACAATTACATTTACACACAAGTAGCTTTAAATGGATTTTAAAGTCCTGAACTCCAACACCATCCTCTGACATGTGCAACTGAGGCTTGATTTTAAAAAAGACAGGTGTCAAATTTGAAATTGAAATTTGCATATAAATTAAATGCCAAGACTATTCACAGCCAGGGGGCATGTGTCAAAAGTCAAAAGAACTGTGGCAACCATAAGATCTTATTCAGATGCTTCATTCCGGTTACAACCTCAATCTTTGGCCTGCTTATTTATGTTAACAAATGGGCAAGACTGCCCCCCTTCTCTCCTCTTCCTTATAATTACACTGGTCAATTTTATAAATAGAATGCCTTACTTTACAGGCAACAAATATTGATCCATACTTCTTAATTCAATTATTTTGTTATTTTGATCTGCCCTATCCTGTTTTCAAATATAGTTTCTGGACATCAGTGTACATCAGTAGTGGGTTTCAAAAATTTTTAGAACCTCTTCTGTGGGTGTGGCCTGCTTTGTGGGAGTGGCTTGGTGGCCATGTGACTGGGTGGGTGTGGCCAACTTGTAAAATGTGGTGAAACTCACTTAACAACACTCTTGCTTAGCAACCAAAATGTTGGCTCAGAAACTCTGGCATTTGAAGCACGCAAGTCTTAAAGCTGTCAAGTTACAAGACCCTTGCACCCCTATCCCTTTAGGAAAAAAACCAAGGAGTGTTCAAACTTGACAGCTTTAAAACTTGTGGACTTCACCTCCCAGAATTCCTCCTCCCGCTCTTCATCTTGATGATGTGCGAACGGGCAGGGGGAGGGAGCTGGAACGGTTCTAAACAGCACGGTAGATTTGTGGAACCTCTTCTATAGAAGAGGTTAGAACTGGCAGGAATCCATCCCTGGTGTACATGTATCAACTGATATTTTATATATTATGCTGCTCGCCTCACTACCAAAGTGACTCTGGGTGGCTTGCACATGTGCATATCTCTCTCTCTCTCTCTCTCTCTCTCTCTCTCTCTCTCTCTCTCTCTCTCTCTCTCTCTCTCTCTCTCTCTCTCTCTCCCTCTCCCTCTCCCTCTCCCTCTCCCTCTCTCCCTCTCTCCCTCTCTCCCTCTCTCCCTCTCTCCCCTTTTTGGAGAAAGAGAGGGAATCTTCCAGATTGGTTTCATAAAATGTTTGACTTTACATTGTTTTCAGTCTATTTTTTCTTTCGGTTGATTTCCCTTAAGCTTTAGGGTTTCTTTCTGTTGAGTAAAGGAACATAATGCCACAAGAACAGAGATGGGTTGCTCTTGGTTCGGCCCGGATCAGCCAAACCAGTAGTAACAGCGGCAGGAGGCACCACCCACCCACCGGATGCTTCTGCACATGTGCAGAAGTGTTGCATGCAAGTGCACCCAAAACAGTAGTAAAAAAATTGACAAAAATTGGCACCAGGAACTGGGATGGTGCAGTGGTAGAATGCAGTATTATAGGCTAACTCACTGTTTGCTGCCAGGAGTTTGATTCTGAGCAGCTCAAGATTGATTCAGACTTACATCCTTCTGAAGTCAGTAAAATGAGGAGCCCGATTGTTGGGGACAATATGCTGACTCTGTAAACTGCTTAGAGGGGGCTGTAAAGCACTAGGAAGTGGTATATACTGTGTTTCCCCCAAAATAAGACAGTATCTTATTTCATTTTGACCCCCGAAATAAGCACTTGGTCTTATTTTTGGGGAGGGCTTATTATTTTTAAGGTGAGCATGGTCTCTTCATGGCTGCTGCTGTGTTGCAATATTTTCGGGAAGGGCTTATTTTCAAGAGAGGGCTTATTCCAGCGCATGCGCTTAAAAGCCCGATTGGGCTTATTATCCAGGGAGGTCTTATTTTCAGGGAAACAGGGTAAGTATAAGTGCTATTGCTATTAATTGTAGGTGATGATTTTGAGTCTAAGATTTATGTATCCATTGAAAGACCAGCAAATCCCATTCTCCCTGAGGCACCCCAAGGCAAACAGCGTTTTATTTTTAAATGATAGAAAAACCAATTGATCTCCGTACCCTATGCAGGTAGTCACTTACTGATTGTAACAAAAATACACACAAACATGAAAGCTCTGGCTTTAGTGGAATAAGTTGTTTCTCTGCAAATTGCTGTGGACAAAGGTCTTACCTTAAAAAAAAGGCTCAGGAATATTTTTGAAATAGCAATTTGTTACCTTTTAACAGTGCTCCAAAATCTGTTAAGCGAAATTAGATTTTTCTTTCTATCAGCAGGACTAACCTCAGGAACCACTTCCAATTTTGTGGAACTTGTTATGACTCCTCTCGCTTTTAAAAAAAATGGAACCTTATTTCTTGGGCAGCATTTCACGTGTAAGGAAATACAGACTGGAATGTGTTGCATTTCCATACACATTTCATCAACTTTCACCAAAAGGAATTTCACAAACATAAACAAATAAAAAACCCACACATTAGTTCTGCAAGGGGGGGGGGGACCATTCAGCATTTGCAGTTAGAAATGCAGGAAATAGTAAAAGAAATCCACCGTTAGGTGTCAGTGTTGTTCTATGGAGTTGAACCCCACCAGAGTTTACCAATTTTTTACATGTTTCAGTTTGCATGGACTAAATGATCGGGTTCCCATTAGTCTACCACTTGGAGTTGAAGGGGTTTGAAACTACCAGATAATCCCAGATTTGTGTATTAGAGTAGGACTTCAGACAAAATATCCCAGAAGAAAGTAACAGCAAATCACTTTTGTATTACTGACAGGAGAATCCCCTGACTTGTTTGTTGAATACATCCTCCTCATCTACAGGGTTGTTCCATTCACATTGTAGAAGAGGATCCTATGCTGTCCTGCTTTTCATTTCAGCTACGTAGAAATTGGTTGCATGTGTTTAGTTAGGCGGTCCGCAGTTCCAGCTTTAAATTCTTTAGTAACCCTTGGTTGGAAGCCATCGGGACCTAGTGATTTATTTATGATGTTCAAGATTTGATGAATTGAGCTAACTTGCTTCTAATACAGATAATCATATTGATTGACGATGCATCAAAACAACTTCTTCCCAACATGGATTAATGAACTTAAAGCAATCTGCCCAGACAGTTGCCGTCCCAAAATGTGAAAAGCAGACAGTCAGGCTACAAATTTTTAGAGCTGTAACTCAACACATCTGGAAAGCACATTAGGAAACACTGATTTAAAGCAAACTGGTAACTGTGTACAGCTATTTTATTGTAATAATACAAATTATTATGTTTCCAGAAATCCACTAAAACTCAAAAACAAACATCCACCATAATTCCTAGGTTTTGGCTAGCAACAAGATTAGCATGCAAGACATGGACCCTGAAATGTCAGTATGTGTGTGTGACTTAAAAAAAAAATAAAGATTGTAATTTCAATTACATGGTCACAGACATCAGTTTGCTTTTTGTGATCTCCCTATCTTGCAACATATAAAGATATTCATTCCAAAATGGGATAACTTATTTATTATTTCATTAATCTATTATTCTTTTAAATTAGTCTGGTCATTATATATAATGTTATTGTTATATTTGCATTTAAAATATTGCAGATATGACGTTCAGTATTATAGTTATATGCAGCATCTGTATTTATATTTATCCTTAGATGATTTGTTACTATTCTTTATTTCAGACATAAAGGATTCAGCTGCATTTTAATTTACATGGCTTTAATGACGTATTTTGTGATAAGTTGCTGATTGGAAAAATAAAACTCTCTCCATTGTGATTGAAGTCAGGAAATACAGTTTCTGTGGTTAGAGTAATTTGGTTAACATTTCATCTCCTATTCCCCAAAGACTGAAACCAACAGGCAATGTCCCTAAAGCATCAGGCTTCTAGCAACGCTAGACAAATAAATCTAGTTTGACTGTAATTTCTTTCCATATTTTACAACATATGCAAGTATTCAGATCAGAATCATTTTCACATGAAACAGCCACTAATGTTATTTCGTAGAGCAACTATTTCAAAAGAAGATTGTATCAAATACCGGTAGTTGCAAATATTTACAATAAAATCTTTTGGATAGTGAGTTAATCCATCTTAAAATTGTTATAATTTTGTATCATGTGGTTTACTGTAAAAATTCAAACTTAAAATTCAACTTCCATGTAATATATAGAAAACGGAGGTCTTTTTTATAACATCTTTTCAGCCTTTATAAAAAATAAAAATTATTTTTCACATATTCCACAATGATTATTCTATTGTATAATATTTTTGGACAAAGAATGTATTAAAATTACACCAATGTTAGAATTAAAAATCTTTCTTATGCTTAACCTACAGTGTCTATTTTTCAGCTAATTATTTTCTGTTTACCTGCTCTACAGAGGAAAATACACAATAGTTAATATAAATAAGCATGAAATAAATGTTGAATTCCGTGAATTCAATGACTGATAGTAAATGATCATTACTAAAATTAGCATCATCTTACAGGTCTCTTTTTGAGGTGTAAAATTAAGAATCAAAATACTGATTCACATTTCCCCCCCCCCAAAAAAAATTACAACAAATGAAACACCACTTTAATGTTCTCTTTCAGATAATTATTGATCAATTTAGCAATTCTTATTACGTCAAGATTCTTTTTTCAAAACTTACCTAACAAGATTGTTAAAGTGCAATAAACAATCTGACAGAGAATTTCTCTTAGAGGTAGACACTGCATAAATTCAACTGTTAGTAGTGGTACATGATCCTGCTAATTGTCTCTCAGTAGCAATGCTACTTGTTTGCTCACAAATGTAATTGGGCACAATGGGCAATGTGACTGCGCTAATTAGTGTACCTTCTAGTGCACCTGAGTCACATTTAACCAGGGATTCTGCAGGCAACATGAGAAGAACAGCATCACTTCATTAAAAAAAAAACCTTTAAAATCAAGAATTGCAATTTTACAATGTTCAATTTTTTATCATTACCATACATTCATCCAGAAGATGAATAATAAGACTTTTAGCACTATGATTTAAGTTTTTTATTTGATTTTCTGATCCAGATGAATTTTTTCTGATGTACCTTGGTAAATGATGCACAACACAATCAAAGCCATCAATTGAATTAAATATTTAAACTCGGAGTTGTGGGGTGTGTGGAAACCATAGATATAGTTAGCTTTACCTTCCTTATAATTCCAAGATATTCTTACAATAATGGAGAGTTTTGTATATTGTTGAGAAACTCCTGAAAAATAAGATTGAGTCTTCACTGACATATTGCAATGCATTGGGGGGGAAGGGACCCTGCAGCTAGTATGGCAAGAATTGGTACATTCCAAATGACTCTCTGATTTTCAGCCTAACTAATTTTGCTTTGATTGATGAAGTTGCTTGGATGAACAACAAAAGGTCTCGGATTAACAAAGTTTGGTCCAGTTGCCATGGTTCAACTTTTAGACACATTATAAAATAGACTTTTGTAACTTGGCTATCTTCTATCCTGTTTCCCTGAAAATAAGTCCTCCCCAGATAATAAGCCCAATCAGGCTTTAGAGTATATGCGCTAAAATAAGCCCCCCTAATAAGCCCTCCTCAAAAATATTACAACACAGCAGCAGCCATGAGGTGACCACACTCGCCACCTCCTGCATCTCAAAAATAATAAGACCTCCCCAAAAATAAGGCCAAGCACTTATTTCGAGGGTCAAAATAAGATAAAGCCCTGTCTTATTTTTGGAGAAATACGGTAGGGAAGTGTTCGGCTTTTTATTTGTTTATTTGTAAAGTTAATCCATATTTACAAACAAATTTCCTGAACTTGGGATTCTTTAATAAGCATTAAAAAAACAAATAGCTTCACATTTTGCATTTTGACTGAAATGGCTATTGTCAGCCATTAACTAATTCTAATTGGCATATTTTTAATGGATATTTTAGTGGTGGCATAAAAGAAAAGGAGCACAATGGTCATCTATCTATTTGATTTTTAAAATCTAGTATAATCAAAATATTTTTTAAAAAAAATCAAAATAATTTAAGCAGGTTATTCTCTTCACTAAAGGCAAGCAATTGGAATTTGTTTTTGTTCAGCTTTTTCTTCCAGCTGTTGCAGAACTATAACTGTCAGTATCCCTAAATACTGGCCAGACAACCAGAACTTCCTAGGAACTAAGCTTCATTTCAACATTTTAGGTTCCCACCTTCTATCTAGTGGAATTTCAGTAGATTAATGAATTTCTCACATAAGTCTTCAGAGAAGAAAAACACACCCTATGTACACTGCACTCCTAGATCTACCAACTTCAAAGTAAATTATACCTAAAGAATATAATTGGGTATATTATCATACACATTAGAGGCTGAGCTTGTCGATCAGAAAGGTCGGCAGTTCGGCGGTTCAAATCCCTACCACCATGTTAACGGAGTGAGCTCCCATTACTTGTCCCAAATTCTGCCAACCTAATAGTTCAAAAGCATGTAAAAATGCAAGTAGAAAAATAAGAACCACCTTTGGTGGGAAGGTAACAGCATTCTATGTGCCTTTGGTGTTTAGTCATGCTGCCACATGACCACGGAGATGTCTTCGGACAACACTGGCTTTTGGCTTTGAAACAGATGAGCACCACCCCCTAGAGTCGGGAACAACTAGCATGTGTGAGGGAAACTTTACCTTACCTTTGCACATATTTAGATTTGCAGGCTGTGCATGCTTATTTGAGAAAAAAGCTCACTGACTATAATTGTATTTATGTCTAACTAACCATGCAGAGATTTGGATGAAGACAGTTAAACTCACACAGTTTTTCTTGGCACACATAGTCTGGCTTTCCTGGGGATTTTAAGGACAAAATGTTCCTGCCTCAGCTGTAAAGGATTTCTGAAAGTACATTTGCTAAGGAAGAAGGAGTCCTAAACAATATAACAGAACAACAGAGTTTGAAGAGACTTTGGAGGTCTTCTAATCCAACCTCTTGTTCAAGCAGGAGACCCTATAACCATTTTTGCTAATGGTTGTCCAGTCCCTTCTTAAAAGCCTGGAGCACCCACATAGCACCATAATCATTACTTTTTTTTAAAAAAACATAGTTTTAAAACATTTCAAATTCATTTAATCTATACTTGCCATTATATATAAATTGGCCATTTAAAAGGGAAACCAAACAGACATCTAAAATGGGCAATGTTTAAAAAGAAATTGGTACAAAATACCATCCATATATTTTATGACCTGAAAACTCAAAATTAGGCACAAAGTAAATTTCCTCTGGGCAACATGATATACATTCCAATGCTCTACTGATGTTGACTGATATTATTTCTGACTGATCTCTCTTGAATGAGTAGCAAAATCAACTGATCTTTTCTGATCTCCAGCTTGTGATACTTTCCCTGGATTAGGTGAACAGTACAGCAAGACGATTTAAGGCCACACCAGCAAATAAATAAATGTGAACTGTTCATATTAACAGACGCAGCCAGACTCTTTCAGGCCACTCTGTTTCCATGTTTATCCCTTCCATTTAGTTTTTCCCTGTGAATATGGAGGGTGTCCTGCTCTTAGTCCCACTAGAACAGTAACAAGAGAATTTGAGAAAAGAAAATGATGTGGCTTATGCACTGTAGTATAACTGTCTTTATTTAAACATCTTATTTTTACATTCATTAGAGCCCTTTCTTTGTTCTTTGACTCTTTTACTAAATTCAACAAAGGTTAAGCTCCAAAACTAAAACTTTCAGAAAATTTGCAAAAACAATGTTTATTTTGAAAAAAAATATTATATAGTATTTATTATATATATATATATATA